CCTCCACCTGTGCCCCTTGGTAGCATAATCTAATTCTTTTTTCCCTATTTACTCCATAGCCTCTCCTATCCACATGCCTTGTCAAAGAATCACATATAATTATAACCTCTTTAAGTTTATCATTCACATTCTTCTCTTTCCTTTTGTTTTCTTTCCCTCCAATAGTTCTTCATCTGTTGCTCAATAGAAAATGCTCATTGCAATTAAATCCACTACTTTTAGCCCTAATATTACTGTTTCGAACTTCCTGAAAGTCATTGCATTCATTACACGTAAAAGCTTAAGTTCCTCTTAAAATCCGGCTGCCATTTCTCACAGTTTACCTTTCTCTTTATCTATTGCCCCTACTTTAATTATGATAACCTCCAATTTCTCCTCCAACTTGCAAACTCTATAAACAAATTGCATATTTTTACTTCTAGCTTTTTAAAAGTGCATACTCGTCCCGAGTTCACCAATAAAATCCAGTCATTGCACCCATCACACCTAACAGTGGTGTTCCTGTTTGTATGTCTACTAGTATATATAAATTTTATCTCTAACCATTCATAGAGTTGAGATTAACTAATTATGCCCCAGGTTTTTGCATTTTCAATATTCCAGTATCATTGTAACTGTTATTATTAATAACTTCTGTGGTATTCTAAAATGCATTTGTTCAGAGCCTAAGTGCCACAACAACAGGAGGTTTGGATATGCTAAAAAAAGAGTAAATAAGTTTGAATTAACCACATTTGATAGAGACTGGCATAAAATGTTCAATGAACAAAAAAGTTTATCTATAAATAACAACAAAGAAATTGCTTGCGTGTGATGAGTTCCATGAAAAGTCACATAAATTCTTTGCTTTTACTTGCATGCTTAGGTATCTGTAGTGATTACTAAAATAAAAGTAAATATAATACCAAAATCTAAAATAATCACAAAACAAAGTTTGAGAGAGAGGACAAGTTTTAATTAAGATTGTATTTCAATCAAGGTATCAGATCCACCCACAGAATTATAAGCCATCATGTCACTATAAGCAAGTCCCATTAACAGAAAGGTAAACTAGAGTTTTCGTCTTCTCTATCGTTACACGTGACCAACTTTCTTGACATCCTGGTGAGACGCTCTAGTAGACTAAATACCATGACGTACAAGTTGTGGTCTTTCAAAATGTGGGGAACCAAACTCGAAAGGCAAGATCAGTGTGGTTCATGACTGGATACATTCTATTGTCTATAATTTTTAACTCTATACAGCACCCTATACCGACTTTTAAAAAAATGATTAAAGATAAGTCCCAATTCTAAGTTATGGAAATGTTTAGTTATATATTTATATAACACAGATATATAGATCGGAATTAAAAAGTAGCGTATATGAAATAATGAAGCCAATATTATTTAACAGTCTAACTAGAATGACTTAATATCATAAATTGGAATATACACAAGGAAACTGAACTTTATAGTGATTAAAATACGCTGAATTATCCATCTGTACTCTTGATGTTAATGATATTAGCAAAGGTACCAGTGTGGTATTCTCAGGTGAAAATGAGTTCATCAAAGAGTATTAGGTAGGTCCACTTTATATAGAAAGGATGTGCAGTATAAGGTACGAAGTACTACTGATTTAACAAAATCGAATGAGTTTAAGCAAAAACTTAAACAGATTAGACACAATGTGTAATGCAAAATGAAAATTATCTTTGTTTATCATCAAGACAAAAATAAAGTTTGTGTACATACTTTCTCGACGCCTGACGATCGCCTCTCTTTCTGGCTTTCATTTTTCAAGATGTGTTTCTGTCAACCAACTCATTTGAAAACTTAATTTCTTACTTAACAAGAAACGTTATATTTATCCATGGCGACTAGCGTTACGAACGCCAGTGGTCGTTCTCATTTAATGTTGGGGAGGCTGTAATTTCTAGTTATCATTTACACTATCAATGAAGGACACTGCTATCGTCTACATTCTTTCACAACGTGCAGTAATATTACCCACTGGAGAAGCAGATATTATCTATGTAGAACAAACAAAAATAAAAGAAATCGAAGGCAGCTAGAATGAAACCAACTTATTTTCTTTTTCAAGATCAAGTGTTAGGCGAAAATTGCAGAATGAAGAAAACTTTTGAAAAGTCTACAGTCAAATATGAATGTAAAAAAAAAAAAGAAAGTTTTGTGGTGACTAAAGGTCGGTAAAGTAGAAAATATTCGTCACAAACAAACAGACGTACAGATAAGCCACTATATACTAGCATCGATTTCCAGCCGTAACGTCAAAGTAATATCACACGAGGTGAGGCCATCTGAAAGTTAAGTTTGTCCTAAATCCATAACACACAACAGAACACAATAAGCGTAAAAGGAATTCAGAAAATTGTTCAAAAAGGCTTAAACATGATAATAAGTAAAACTGAATGAAACGAAGTGTAAATATAAACAGTGTAGGCACATAACATAACACATAACACGAGTTGTTTGCTCTTAAGACCCATTCAGCTTACCGATATGCAAAACGTGGATTTAGTATTGAAGATCAGGAACGTTCATGTATTTGCAGAAGGTAGTGCTATCCAACGGCAAAAACTTATGAAACTTGAAAAAAATGTATAGTAACTGTTTTAAATAATATTGTTACGACAGCGGAAGTCACGTGACTCTAGTAACACGTCATGAGCTTCTAGAAAATTCATGCCCCTTCGTGAATCCTCGAATGTTTACTAGATGTGCGGTACTCTTGTATATAAGACGGCCAAG